CACAAGTGCTTCGAAACCCAGAACTACGCCGCACACTCTTCAGCCCTGAGATGCTCCGTAGGCAATTACAATTGCACCGCGCATTGAACCCAGGTGGCAGCAATGCTTTCCCTGCCCCAGGCATCACAGACACCACACCGCCGGGAGGCACTACAACGGGAACTGGCACAACACAACAGCCAGCAAACCCCTTCGCCATGCTCGGCGGCCTTGGTGGTGCTGGCGGTGCAGAGAACCCCTTCACAGCTCTATTCGGTCCCACAGGCGCCAATCCGTTCGCTAACACACCAGCATCCGCCAACTCGAACACCACACCCACCACCTCCCCCCCTCCTACAGCGTCCGCAAATCAAGGCACTCCCGCAAACCCCACTCCCTCACACCAGCCAGGAAACCCCTTTGCCGACCTCTTCGGTGCCGCCGGTACCGGACAAACCGGCCCGAACCCGCTCGCAGAAATGACCCAGCAATTGATGCAAAATCCCGAAGCCATGCGCGCCGCGATGCAGATGATGGGCGGCATGCCTGGCGGCGGCCCAAACCCTTTCAGCGCTACCCCAGCTGCCGGTAATATTGGTGCGGGTGCGACTGCTAACCCATTCGCTAACCTGTTCGGGCCGGGCGGATTCGGCGCCTTGGGCGGTATGGGTGGTATGGGATCGCCTCCGCCTCCGGTGGATAATCGGCCGCCAGAAGAGCTGTACGCGAGTCAGTTGAGGCAGCTTAACGATATGGGGTTCTATGAGTTTGAGCGGAATGTGCAGGCGTTACGGAGGAGTGGGGGGAGTGTGCAGGGGGCGCTGGAGTTTTTATTGAATGGGGCATGAGAGAGTGGCGGAAGAATGGATGGATGGAGAGAGATGGTCCGGGTTGACACGATATGCATAACGGTAAGTGCGCGCGTAATGGTAAGTAATGGTTGATGAACGAATACGCGCGGATAGAGATGGGGATGGATATGGGGCTTGTAAGGCGATGTATGGATCTGTGGGATGGATCGTTGATATCCCCCACTCTCTTCACAGCGGCACGAAATCGGAATTAGCTGTTCTTATTGCTACGGTCCTTGGATGGGATGCCGTCCCTCTTTTTTAGGTAGGGGTATAATGTGAGCTCTCTGATCAGCTTGTCGCATTTCACTCGTCAAGCAACTGCTAGTCTTTGCAGCTGGCGGGTGTTGTACGGGCCCCGTGCCCTGATTCCTTTTGGTTGTAGGGTGGAGGGCTTGAGTCGGATGGAGGGGGTTTTATCGATTGGTGGTGGAGGGGGAGTGATAAGGTCCTGCGATATATAGTGGAGATGGTAAAGCGTAATTATTGCACACCTCGTAAGGTGCCGGAGTCAACCACACCTCCTTAACACGTCTCGAACGACATAGAAGCCCTCCACGCCATTTCGCCCATACAGCCAGAGCCCCCAAGTCTCCTTCCTATTTTCTCTACGCTCACAAGGCCTTCACATAAAATCTCATTCACACCCAGAACCATGTTCGCTTTCCAGCCAACCAAGTCCACCATTCTTCACCGTGCCCCTCGAAGCCGTTACGAAGACATTAAGCACACCAACCTCATCCTCCGTATCCCTTCCCTACTCTCATCCTACAAGCTACAAGCTACAAGCCCCCATCCTACTCTCCAGAGAGGTCACGTCTTCACCCCCCCAAAATCAAAAACCAAGTCCAAAACAAAATACCACGCCAGCTCCGTCCGGACTATGCCGACTCCAGAATTCCATCCGATTAAGTTTACCGTCATCGGCGTGTATAGAAACGTAGGTGGGGTGTTGTAAATTGGGTCGCAGTGGGTTTGAATTAGGGTTACGGTTGGTATTGCTGTAGGTAATAGACAGGGAAGAGGGGCAGGGAAGAGGGGGTGGTGATGGGAGGGGAAGGGAGTGTGGAGAGGGTGGAGGGAACGGGAACGGGAACGGGGTAATGGGAGGGCCAATTTTGTCGTGAATTGTTGTGGGAATGCATGGGCGGATAGTAGGAAGCGGTTCATTAGGGGTGGGTTGGAAGCTGTGAGGGTTTTAGGAAGGGCCTGGGGGGCTTTAGCAAGACGGGTCGGGGGTGAGTAGATTCGATAATGATTCAGAGTTGTTGCTACATAGGGAGAAGTGTTGCGAAGTGTATTAGAAAGGAGAAATGTGTATAATATGCAGGAAAAGTCCGTACAAAAGGCATTTAACCACGAGCTGCCGAGGGAAACCCATATTTCCACGGGTCAACGATACGGGAATTACTAATTTGACAGAGCAAGGGAAAGAAGTAGAAGGCTTGTCGCGACGAACAATTCAGACATCAATTGGGGTTGAATCATTATGTATATACGCTTGTGATGTGGTAGGTGGTGGAAGTATCCGAATATCATACACGACAGCTTAAGTGTATATGCTCCGATGTTGGGTGTAGGGTCTTAATTTGGTGTGCGGAATGCCTAAGGAACCTGCTGGCGACGTGGCGATGCGAGATGTGCGGTCCAGTATTGCGACATTGGACGGATCTAAAGTCTGCTCTGCAATGGAGCGAGCATAAATTCAAGCTGGCACTCGCAGCATTACACCACCGCAGCCATTGATTGAGAAATAAATATTGTTAGCCAAAAGTCGCTGGCTATAGATCTCGTTTTGGTCGCGATGTTCGATGCAGGAAAAGTTGCTCAAGATCGTGGAGATACTGGGAGGCACTATTTAAAAGGAGGCAATGGAGAAGGTCCCGGTATTTCATTGAGTCGCTGGTGCGTCATTATATGAACAGGGTGTCTTAGGCTACATGAAGTAACTGGATATTATATATGGCGGCTTGAGTGTAGATCTCCGTATGCTAGTTGTAGAGCGCGAGTTTGGTATAGAGTTTACCTATGGAGCCTGTTGACGAAGTGGCGATGCTAGCTGCGCGGTCCAGGATGACTCGTCGGTGATGTATCGCCTAAATCCTCGCATTGATAACGTCATTATGATAGCTAACAAAACTCAGGATATATTGTAGACATTTTGGTAGTGTCCTGGGAACGATGGACTTCCGGGGTATCTTTCATCTTGTCCTCCACTGAAGAGGCCTTTTCGGATGAGACTCGGTGGAAGCAAATAACCTTCACCGATGAATAATCTGTACCTCTCCAAATCCTTTGATCTTTTCCATGGCATCTTTCTCGCTCATCCTTAACTCCGTACAAATCTCATCGAAACTGTGAACTCCATCCAGATACCGTGCCAGAGGCAACTCTCTACCCGGGTCCGAGCCGAAACCGGTGCCATTTCCGTCCCCATTCGCATACCCGGGCCCTTCCACCCAACCCCCTTTTCGACGTTTTGTTTCATCGTTGACGCCGGGTAGACATGAGTTTACAATTGCATACTTGTGCACACGATACAGATATCCTTTGATGACTCCAAACGTGATCAAGCGACGGACGTCGACGCGGGTAAGAAGCTCGAAGTTCTCCAAACACCAATTGCGCAAGGTAAGGCCTTGCTTTAGTGATGTGTAGAGTCGAACAAGACTTTCCTTGGAGACACGGTAAGGATCAGACTCGTCATCTGAAGATTCACCCTCTTCTTCCATGTCTACATCCTGTTCTTCGTGTGATCTCTCTCGTGAGAGGGGCTCGTCGCTTTCATCTCGGCTGCCATCCGCTTCTGATCCTGTTCGAACTGCGGGCTTCAAGCTCATGCGAGGGATCCTGACATATCCGGCGCATTCCGCCTGAATGTTTTCGTCGACAATGAAATCACTGATTTCGGACGTTGGGGCATAAATGGCGCCGAATTGGAAGATATCCAGGAGAATCACGCAGCCGTAGTAGACGAGATGCTGCACGGCTTTTCTGGTCAGACTCAGATCTGTGTCTGCTAGCTGAGAGATGTGCGACACGGAACGCGTTCCGTTGATATATGGCAGAATGCGAGTGAGTGTAAGGTCTGAGGATATTGTTGAGGAAAAGGAGGAAAGATCGATTCTGAGAAGCGGAACATGCCATGCGTATACCGGAGCCGGGGGAGGATGAGTAGGAAATAGCTTCAGATTGATGGTATTTGAGTCATCTGAAGCCAAATATGTTAAGGCTAGAAGCTTGGAAGACGAGTTGAATAATCAACACTTACCTATTGGTATCATGCACTCGCAATAATTATTAAGGTCCTCCAATATCATTTCACAAAGTGCGTAGACCTTCCCGCCACTGCCTGGCACAGATCCAATGTCCCAGATGCCTGAATCCGCATTGTCTTGTTCACATAGCTTGTCTTTTGCCTCCACATGCCCATCACCTTGCTCTTGACCCTTAACCTTCGTATCACTCTCTACACCGTTCCCCTCCCCCTCATCCTCATCATCTTCAAACCACCTCGGGTCCTCCTCTTTACTCAAGAAGCCTCCTTGCTCTTCCAACGCTCTCAACAGTCGCCCCAACTTCCTGACAACACTCGCATAGCTACCCCAATCCGACACATCTTCATCAAGCACCAAAGCGAAATTGAATATGAATTCATTTCGGTTGTATTTCGTTTCATCCTCTATACATACCGGGAAGCCGATGACACGATAATGGTTTGTGCAGGTTGTGACGAGCCGGTCGCAGAACTCTTGTCGCGGGATGATGTAGGCTGAGATGCTGGGGAAATGGAAGAGAGGATTCTGGAGCGCTGATGGGGAGGTCGACGGTGTGACGGAGCCTTCTGGGACTTGGTGGAGGACACGGAAGCCTGAGATGGGGATGTGGGTTAGCAGAGATTCCGGGTGTTGATTCCAGGGCTGCGGGGACTTGTAGGATCTGGGCGAACGTGCCTTTTTTTGGGTGAAAGCGTGTGAAGAAGATCGATTTAATCATCCTTGTTTGCATCGTAGGTTGGCACGGCGTGGAAACCTTTGTATCGGTCCTGGGGCTACATCATTGTGCATTGAGAATAGACAAACGGTTGCGAGGTGCGGTTCATCTCTCTCAAAGCACCGTCAAAGAAAAAGTTAGTATATAAGGGAAAGAAATTGGCTACTCTTTCATCAAGGTGAGATGGCCGAGCGGTTAAGGCGACAGGTTAAGGTTTCAACCTTAGCACAATTCCTGTTCACGAAAGTGGCGTGGGTTCGAGTCCCACTCTCATCATCATTCTTTTTTGCATTTTTGTTTGCATATTGGCAAATCCTGCTTTTAGGCTCTGGTTCTTCGTTCTACGACTCTTACGCGACAGAAACAGCATGCCAAATTACGGGATTGTTAGGAGTCGAAGCGTAGATATTTTCAAGTCAGCTAAACATCTCCGCAGCGGTTCTTTTCCTTTTGCGCGACAAACCTCTATCATAGAATTATATAAAACCACGAAACATTACATGTATCACGTAAAAATCACAGAAATACGTTAACACGAGACATGATGTCTGCTTCATTTCTACGTAATCCTTGAAGCTCGATATCAGGCGTGCCTTGTCACTTCTCCTTTCTCTCCCTTCTCAACCCCCCAACACCTTACACCTCGTCCCCAATCATCCCCACAACTACCTCCCCCTACTCCGCATGTCCCACAGTAACGGGTGCAGAGCAAATTGACAATCCATTACAGATTGCAACGCCGACGCCAGACCAGCTGACGCCGGATGCTTGCTTTTTTCCTTCCATCCTCATCCAATCCTCAGTCATTAACTTCATACCAAAAAAACCTATTAACAAGAAAGCGAAGAAAAAATGGGGAAAGGAATGATCCCAATGTATCGCTGCACATAAAGCCAGCTGGACAGGTTAAAGTCTCGAGAAGCATCGAGCTCGCCCGCCAAAAAACGATCGTATGTCGTGGCCGTTGTTGCGTTGAGAAACTGAAAATGATTGAATAAGCACGCGAGGAGCTGTATTCAAGTCATCTACGTGCGTACAACGACGCCCTGGCGGCGGGTGGTGCGGGCTTCGTAGGCCTCGTCGTCTTCGCTGGAGCAGGACTCGGAGTCGTCAGAGAATCCGCAGCGGGCACCGCCACAGTCGAGCTTGACGCGGTCGCCGGTGCGGGTGATGCCGTAGCGTTCGCAGGTGCAGCAGCTGGAGGTGCTGGACACGGAGGACGGCGACGATGAGTTGGACGAGCGCGACGTGAGCGATGGAACATCGGAATCGCCATCGGAGTCGTAGTCGGAGTCGTCGGAGTCTTCCATGGTGGCGAGGCTGAAGCGGGATGTCAGCGCCTCGATGGTCGCGGGTTCGTAGTCTGCGTTGACGAGTTGGCGGGTCTGGTTGGGCTTGACCGGTGTTGGAGACACGATCTTGGATGGGGACAGGGCGCGGCCTTTCGGGATATCGGACGAGATGCGGCGGGAGTGGCGCTTGCTGGTGTCGCGGGCGGGGCTACGGGCAGGAGCGGCGGGGGTGGTTGGGGTCTTGCCCGGGATGTCGAGGATGTTGAGTTTGCGGCCAGTGGTGGGCTCGGTGGTGAATTCCTTGGCTGGGTCGTGCGAGACGTGGTAGCCGTCGATGATATACTATGCGGGGCGTTAGAGACGGACTTGCTGGTGCATGAGGGGAGGGAGACATACGTAGTACCAGTATCGCTGACCCTGCTTGAGTGTCGCGCCTTGGAATCTGAAGGTGCCGAGCCAGCCACCAGACTTCTTCGCATCCTTGGAAAGAGGAAGTTGCCCGCTGTAGTTATCCCATGAGCCGAGAAGATGGACGGTCTTGCAGTTGGCAGAAGTGCGGAGGGTGAAGTTGAGTTGGATAGCGGCCATTTTTCTTATTTGTCGAAACTAATTTGGTTTGGTGTTGTTGTTGTTGTTGTTGAAGTTGGACTGGTTCGTTGAAATGATAGATTGAAGCTGATTGGAAGAGAGCAAAATTGCGTAAATGCGAATGGGAATTAATGATTGTTTGGTTGGTGTTGGAATTTCGCGAGCAAGAAGAGCTGATTATTAGAGTATTGGATAGGTGGACCGGCCACAGCTGTTGAATTGTATGGGAATTGGTGGATTAACGGTGGTATGTAGAGATATAGTAATTAGGGCACCAGGCCTGAGGTATCGGATTTGATGGAGTAAAGAGGAAACAAAAAAAAAAAACTTGAGAGACAAAAAGACTAATAAACAGCTCAAAAGGTGACAGGCTTGCTGAAGAGCTCGAAAGAATGGGCAGACCAGCCCATCTTTTAAATCACAACTCCCACCCGCACTGATTTCGGCTTGGCTGACAGCCTCCGGGTGGTACAAAATAGAATGCCTGCTTCTGGTCGGCCGGCTGCATGGACGGCATGGGCGTGATGGGAGAGTGGGCCAAGCTGGACAGCCTCTTCGCAGTGTGAGCGCTTGAAGTCGAGGTTCAAGTGGACGAGGTTGAGATGGTGTTCCCGGGGGAATGCTGCAGGCGGCTCCTCTGCGCCCCACAATTGGCTGCACAATCAGGTGTATGTAGGAATGGTTCTAGCGGCGCTCATGCACTCGAAAACAGTCGGCCAATGGGAAGAGGAGCTGGAGAGGAGGTGGTGATGGACACGGAGCTTTGTGCATTTCCGCTCCCGCTACGGGCATCACACTGCATCAATTAATTGTACTCTAAGCCCAAGAGGAGGCCTGCGATGGTGGGGACGTCCTTGTTGACATGCAGCTTCGGTGATAGCATTCACTGGCAGCATTCACTGGCTAGGCGACCGTTCGATGGATCAGATGGCTCTCTTCTGCAGCTCGCTTTGCGTATATCGTCCCTCGTCGCCCTCCTGGTCTGCCATGCGAGCTCTCGACTCAAGCGCCCAATCGCGACTCTCTATCGCAGTCATCTGCATCGCACACGAATGTGGACCCAGCGGTTACGTGCAGCGAGGCCTGGCTGACAGAGCAAGACCATCGCATCCTCCACTTGACCAAGGACACAATCTAGGATAGAGCCATTTTCTATTATCGATAGCGGTCCCGACGATGACGGGCAGCGGTCCGCAGCTCTCAATCCGAGTACGAGGAAGTCGTCTAGAAAAGCTTCACCATTGGATGCGTGTCAAGAGACGGTGTTAAAGACCGTTACTTGGAACCCATTCAAGAGTGGTTGGACACGGCGATGCTGCATATGAACAAGTTCTCCGCTGTTAACAACAATAGACTATGACCACTTCCACACATCATGTAGTATACGAGTCTCAGACGCCCCTATATTGGCGACGGTGTACAAGAGGTCAGATTCGCGAATGATGCCCCACGAGGCTCGTGATAGATATCCGCCTTCTGGAAGCCCAGTCGACAGCTCCAAAGAAACTATGCCAAGCGGAACATCATTCCCACACCTACGCGCCTCAACCCCAGCAAGCCGTATTCATGCAATCCGCATCGTGATTTTCCAAAGTAAATTCCCAATGGTCATCTACTCCTGACAGCGAAAATTTCGCGCCCACTTACGCAATAAAAACAAAGGCTTGAGTGCGCAACACAAAATAGATTACCCAAAGCCGCACCGGTCAATGCCAAACACCCCAGGCTCCAGAACCTCAGCTGTTCTGACCTGACTATTACTCAAACCCTAGCAGATTCTGCAGCTCCTCCGGCGTCAATGTGCTCTTTCTCCTTTTCGGCCGCCCTCCAATCCGAGTCTTGCGTGGCGAACTTCGCCGACGATGCTGCTGTTGCTCATCGTCCACTTCCGTCCGCGCCTCTACGCCTGACTTCACGGCCACCAGGCCATCCGCTAATGCTGCCGCTTCGGCTTCTGCTTGCGCCACATTGAGCTTGTCCTGCACCGTTAGCTTGGGCAAACGTTCCTCGGGATGCGGGAGCGGAGAAGAGCGCCGCTTCTGTGCCTGCAACAGGTCAATATATATGTATCTGTGGTTGATTCTGGAGGATGAAGGGGGGGAAGAAAGTGTGACGTTGCGAATTATATATATCATGTCCGCAGTATCATCGAAACGTACTTGACGGGGAATCCGTGATTCCTGGAGTTTGGCCCTGCTTCTGGAGAGCTGCGACTTTTCTATTGATGTTGCGGTTTTGCCGCTGGGCGTATCTCCCACAAGGTCAACCTCGGATGCATTCTCGTCTGCACCCATGGATGGTGTGTTGTTGATGGAGGGTGCAAAAGCAACTTTGCGTGGGGACTTGATGTTGCCATTGCTTTCTCTAAGCGCTGATTGTTCGGGCTGCAGCTGTATGTTAAAGATGTCCGAATTCGACGCCAGGCCTGCTTCGTCGCCTTTTTCTGGGGATGGGGGATCTTCGAGCCTGGAGTCTTCCCCTTCCATGCCATCTTCAATATCGTCGACTACGTCGCTGTCCATCTCGCCTTCATCGCCATCAGCGACTGAAACGTTTTGCCCAAGTCCCAGTCCCATCTTCAACTCCTCAAGATTGATCGTGTCACCTCCATTCTGCATCCTCTTTCTCCATCCCTCCATCATGGCCACAGCTTCCTTCCACCTCGCCTCCATCTTCTCCCATCCTGCTCTTAACCTCACAATTTCCTCCTCCCTCAACTCGACCTCTTCAATAGGCACAAAGTTCGGATTCGTCAGAAGCGTCTTCAGGTTCTCCAGCACAGTATCCATATCCGTCGCCAGTGCCTCATAGCTCGTAGGCAGAGCATTTACCATGCCCTCTCCCATGTCCTCTTCCACCACCGTCTCCAATTGCCCCATCTCAACCCCCCTCTGCGCCTCGGGCATCCCTTGCAGCTCCCTCAGCGTCCCGAGTGTACTCCTAACCAACCCGATCAAATTATCATTCTCGTCACTCAAGCTCTGACTCAACTGCGTCAAGAACTCCGTCGTCTCTAGTCTGAGACTATACTCCGGATCATCCACTCCTGGCACCTCCTCCTCTCTGCCCGCAAACCCCGACCCGCTAATGCCCGACGCCCCCGGAGTAATCGAGATACTCGCGCCAACAAGCCCCGTCTTGTTCCCGCGCTGCTGTGCAGTCAAATGGGTCTTCAGCCGCTGGATCTGCACGTCGCGCTTGCGGACGTCGTTGGCGCAGCTTGTGCGCACCTGCTGCACCGTCGTCTTTAATCTCAGCATCTCCTCTCTCAACGAACGCGCCGACGCCTCCGCCGTGCGCAGCGCCGCCCGCGCCGCGCGTTCCTGTGACTGCGAGAGCGAGAGCTGCCGCGTAAGGTCTTCGGCGCGCGTTTTCTGTCTCTCAAGCGCAACGGTC